TTAATCATAATTGAGATTAAGTTATGATAGAACATGGATATTCTCGTTTTCGTCGTGTATCCCCCCCCCCTTCCCGGCTGCTATCGACTCAAGCATTCATGCTTTAGTTGGCTTCTGCATTTATCCTGATTCTTTGACTTATCTCCATACTTTCAAGTTTTCAATTATATGTAGCATTTTGGGGGTATATTTCATTCGTCACTTTTATGTTATTCAATTATATTACATACTGTTATTGTTACTTGAATATTTTGTTTTGATTTTTCGATTAATGCGAACATCTGCTAAAAAAAATTAACGTGTGTGTGCGTGTGTGTGTGTGTGTGTGATGTTGAATGTGATATTTTTTTTAGGAGTTGGGACGTTAGGTATGCGGTTAGATGTATAGGTGGTGATGTTCTGTGAATGGAGTATTTGTACAGTGTTCTATATGATGAGATAGATAGTGTTGTGTTTGGTGTAATGGTAGTCACGGTCTTGGGTGTGGTCTTGTGAATAAGGATAATTGGCTGGAGTTCCAGTGTTGTGCGCGTGTGTATCCGTGTATGTTTTGCAAGGTGCGAGTAAATGTGAATGTTTACGGGGGGGGGGTAAGTAGTAGAAGGGTGGAGGGATAGCGTGCTTAGGGTGGATTGTATACAAAATGTATACTTAATTTATTTCAAGTTTCATGAATGATGGTAATTAAGTTTCAGTATGTGATTATTATTATTAGAACAATTTAGTGATTTTATTCCATTATTCTCCTTCTTTGCTCACTGTTTTATGAATAATTTATTTATGTTATGAAAACGTAATGAAGATCTGTATTTGTATGGAATTATTTACATTGATTTTTATGATTTATTTTGAATGAAATCTCTATAAAAAATATTGAAGAAAAAAAGTGTGTGTAATTTTTGTACATGTAATTATATCGTTATGTTTTTTTTTATCGGGTAGGTGGGACGCGTCTTTATTAGCCTACAACAAAAGTTCTTATATTGCCCTTTAAAGGTACTATGTCCAAATTGGCAGCCAAACAAATGAAAAAGTTAAATTTCAACTGCATTTGAAAGATAATACT